TAGAGGCTGTTTATCTCTATGTGCCTGTTGATGGCTGCCGTGTCTGAATACCAGGCTTCCAAGAATTCTCGGGCATTTTTGGTTTTAGCTTGGACTAGGATGCTCACAGTTTCCCAGTTAAAACTATGGTTAAGTCTGTCCATATGTTGAGAGAGAAATGTTCATCATGTCTTCTGACTGCTAGTTGGTGCTCGTGGTTGTGTTCTGCTAGTCTTCTGCCTGTCTTCCTACATAGTGTTTGTTACAGTCCTTACACTGTATGTTGTAGATGATTCCTGTTTTTCTTCTTGTGCTACTGCGTCTTTTGGTTTACTTAAGATATTTTGGAGTAATTTTGTTGTTTATTAAGAGTTAAAGGCTGCCCAACTCCAGTATGCCTCTGGGCAACTTATCTTTTAAAAGCAGAAAAAACAATAGAGAGAATCTGAAGTATCGGGACAATTACTTCACTGTTTTGCATTGTAGCAATTGTCAGTGGGGGAATGTAGTTTTCAGATGACCAGGAGAATGAAAAAAGGAAATCCTTCCAGGTTCAAGTACAACCAATATGGAAATGACAGGATTGAAAGTAACATAGCAAAGATGTATGTCTCTTTCTAAGATGAGTAGATTGATATACAGACAGCAGCAGCAGCAGGACTATATAATATGAAGAGCTACTTTATTAGGACTTGTTTTAATTACACTTTGTATACCCCCTTGATTTTTGGGATATAGGGTAGCATAAAAATATTTTGAATTAAGAGATAAATCAGTGATTTTCAGGTGGTTGTGCTGTTACTCATTTGAGTCTAAGTAATTTCCTTTTGGTGAAGACAAAAAAGTCAGGTAATATTTAGCACAATGTAATTCTGTTTTCTTTATACAATATTATCCTGTTGCAAACACTGTGTTCCCCTGTGCATGATTTCTCTCATAAAGAATCTATTACTGCCACTAAAATGTATATTTTGGTACAAGAAATTTCCTCCCACTCCCTTTTGGAAGAAATTTCTTTGCAAAGCCGTTTTCAACATCTGTCAGGAAAGATATGAACACACTTATAATGTCTTAACTGTGCAGGCATCTTTTTATTGCTAGTGCTATTAACATCATTATCCCTTCTGGCAAAGAACAATAATAACAAAGGAGAATTAAGAGGATTTTTCTGAATGCCATTGGTAGTTATTATTTTTTCTCTTTTATTTAAAAAAAACTAAGACCAAAGCTACAGACACCAATCAAACTACAGTATCAGAGTATTCTGCTGATCCTACAAGTGAGTTCTGCATGTAAATAGAGTTATCTAGATGTATTTGTGGGAATGAGAATGCATATTTATGCACATGCCCACCCGGTTGTCATCTCATCACCTTGCTGAACCAGTTTTTGCATTCCCTATAAACCAAAATACTCCAGAATTCAGAAGTAATAACAGACCAAGGAAGTAATCCCTGTGTTGAAATGACAGCGCCGATCTAGTACTTTCAAATTTACAGTCCTCAAGATCCTTCCAAAAACTGGGCTGCAAGAACCAGTAGTCATGGCTTGCTCGCTGTAAGCTAAATAAAAAGCGAAAAGTTAATTAATTGTTGGCATATTACAGGATCTAATGCATCTCAGTGTGTTCTTCCAAACAATGGATGTGATATAATTAAGTGGGCAGTGTTGGCTGCTTCACTTTCTCAAGCCTTTGTGTATGCACACCGCTCCTACTATTCTGAAGGGGAAATTTCTCTCTGTTTCATTTGTTTACATTTTTTTAAAGTGTGCACAAGTTGTAGGAAAGTGGACTGCTGCCTTATTTCTGATAAGGAGTCTGAATCCATATCTTTCTGGTCAGTTTCATAACCAAAATATTCACCACCACCACCACTGTTGCCTCCCCTCCCCCAAGTTTTAAGTCAATTTCATACCACCCTTTAATTCTGGACATTTTCTCAGTTGGGCAAAAAAATTACTTGCTTATTTTTTTTTACTAATTCCAAAGTCACCCCTTAATTTTTCTAACTGATCATTGAACAAAAAAACTACAGGACTTCATTACATGTTCAGCCCTCTTTTTCATACATTTGAAAGCAATTCTGAGGTCTTTTGGCATCACTTGCACATAACATGGGCAAAAATGGGAAGTGAACCAAAGTGCACATGCAAATTCTGGTTGCCAGTGTGACAAGTTGCTCATAGAAATGATCATGCTTAGGACAGAGTATGCTATGAGAAGATTTGTGTCAATGTCATCCTCTCTTATCTTTTTAAAAGCAGACCTTAGTCTAATAAAATGAATTAAGAATGAATAATTAATTTGATTGAATTAATCAGCTGACCATCATGAAAGTGCTTAAAATACATAATGCATATAATGAAGGTTAAATATTTAAAAACATATAGACATAAGTACTAAATACAGGTATGCACATACTTCCAAGATGTTACTGCAAAATCTCAAAGTCTCCAGTAGCTTCTTAAATAGACAAGAATAGAAGTAGAAAAGTGGTTATCTTCCCTGTGACACAGGAATTGTTCATAACAATAGAAGCTTTCTTTCACAGTCTCCTGGACCAAATTCTACTCCAATGTAAGAGCTGCTACATTCAGTTAGTTCTCCTGTGCTTCATAAACTCCCAGAAGTCCTGGTAGAAGAAAATAACTTTGCTGTGCAGGATATAAAATTAGGTTGCCACCAAAATATGCATGGAAAGAAACAGAAAAAGATGTTGGTCCCCAACTTGTCATCCACCTTCTGCAAGTAGAACCTCCTTTTTACCTTGTGTCAGTTTCATATTTTCATTACCTTTTCTGCTCAGTCTTTTCTGAAGTTTTTGTAGCTAAGAATTAGGTTTGGCTGCATTTCTCAACACTGTTGATCCATGCACCAATTTCTCTAATAAAGTTAAATTGCCCACATTATGGTTATTTTGCTACTTCTGTCAAAGTCCTATTAACATCAGGGTAATTCCTTCCAGTCTCACACAATCTGTGACTGAGTTGTCATCTTTAATAGAATAATTAAGATTTAAGGAAAATAATTATGCAAATAAAGCCAGGTGAGTTGAGATATTGCATAAAATGTACCACTCCCAGAAATTTGCTGTATGCTGACGTACCGATTAGAGTTAATCCCATAAGTCTTCTATTCCAGCTAACATAGTAAATACTCTATGTTAGCTGGAATAGAAGGACACTATACACCGTCATGAGTATTTGCATCCAGAATCACCAATTTAGTGAGAGTAATTACCTAGGTCTGTAGCAGAAAGACCCACTCATGGTATACAGTAGTGAGCTAGAGTAATAATTCGATCAGTGTTTAATTGATCAAAGTATTACTAATAAGTATTATGATAAAATGAAGCATTTGTTCAGGAGGCTTCCTTGGAATTCTGTGAAAGTGGGAGAATACAAAGCTTCAATAATTGTTGCCATTAAAAACATTGTGATTGATGTTTTATCAGCATTCCTAGAGATAATTGATTTTTTTCCTAGTCTCCATTCTGTTCACAATTGTGGTTTATTGTTATACAAATTAAATGGAATCAAGACAATTTGATTTTAGACAAATGGAATTTATTGAGATTTTAAGATACAGATTTTAGTGACATTTACTCAATGTCTAGCTGTGTTTTAAGCTTAACATGTAACTATTTCAATTATTTTTTTTGTTTTACACTGGCCAAAGTATTCTGCCTGCTGTCTCTTTGACATAAAACTTCAAAGAACATTCTAGAGTTGTGTTTTTCAATCTTGGCAACTTTAAGATGTATGGACTTCAACTCACAGAATTCCCCAGCCAGCGCTGGAAGTTGGGAGCACTGGTGCAGGCCACACATGAATCCAGGGAGGGCCGGGGAGTGCAGGCCGTGTGTGAGTTGGGGGAGGCCTGGAAGGGCCAGTGGAGGCTGTGTGCAAGTGGGGGTGGGTGTTGCGGGTGGAAGTGACTTACCGGAGCAACTTCTGACCTTCCCTGCCGGCTTCCCTATTGACTTTGCTTTCGGGAAGCCAGCAGGGAAGGTTGCAAATGGTGATCACATGACCACATGCAATGGCCGGAACTTTGGGGACTGGTTGTATGTCCATTTTTTTAGCACTGCCATAACTTTGAACAGTCGTTGAACAAATGACATAAGTTGAGGACTACCTGTAGTTCTCCCCAGGGACATGAGTGTTGATTCACATGAACCATTCAGTTTTGGTGATCCATGCTAACACTTTCCAAGCTTCCTAGAATTTCCTCTGTCCTTAGACACATATAGCAGAGCATTTGGTTCCCTTGTTTATTCAGTAGTGAATTTTTTCCTCACCATTCCAAGGACCCAAATTATCTCAATGAAGAAATGAATAATTACGTGTTCTGGTTTCATCCAGGAATACAATTAACAAGCATATGCATGTATGTGTGTGTGTATATATATGTGTGTGTGTGTGTGTGTAAATAATTGCTTTCCCTAAAAAATCTTCATTGGCACAAATAAAAGCATGCTTCATTATTAAACTGGCTAATACTTTAAAATACGTCAAGCATGTCTTGGCTTTATGCCATTTTCAGGGAATAAAGTTGATGATTTTAAGTACTTTTACATGCATACACCTATAACTCTTTGTATTTTTTCAAATTCTTTTATTCTTTTTGTCAAACAGTACACATCTGTGGTTTAGGCTGGTTCTAAATTTTGTTTTAGGTTTTTTTATCCCACCTTTCTTATTTTTATAAATAACTCAAGGTGGTGAACATACCTAATACTCCTTCCTCCTCCTGTTTTCCTCACAACTACAACCTTGTGGGGTGAGTTGAGTTGAGAGAGAGTGACTGGCCAAAGTCACCTATTAATTAATTAATTAATTTAATGGAATAGTCAAGTTACAAAAGTATTAATTATGCATTTTACATTCTTACCTGTTGTGCTATTTAATATCAGGTGTCTGGCAAAATTGCAGTAGCTAAATTAAATCAAAGCTATATTTTTTCTAAATAAATAAAAAGAATGCCTTTTCTTTGTTTTCCAGCTTCAAAGAAGACTGGACTAGAGACATGGCAGAAACAGGCTGTTCTGGAGAACATAACTTTCAAAATAAGTCAACTAAAACCAGTAAGGCACTTGGTAAAGAGTTGGTTCCTGGACATAATGTTGGCATAGACAACATCCGTACAGTACATGCTGTAGAAGTCTATGGGCATGACAAGGATATCCTTGGAAAACTGCATACTCACTTACCTGGATAAATGACCTCAACTGTTAAAGTTGTCCTGGACCAAAGCAAATTGTGAATACACATATTTACTGAATGTGCCTTAAAAACAATACAAAAAAATAAATGTCTGGACTGTCCCTTATGTATCTGTTGCAGTAAATGTCTGACTATAGCTATAATTTAGCAAATCTCCAAAAATTTGGAGAACTAAATCCAGTTTCACTAAACACACACACACACACACTTGATGTTTACTAGGGCAGTGCACGCTTCAAAAATGATTGGGAAGAAATGCCTTGGATTTGCACAAGCACAGGCACCTCCTGTTCATTAAAGAAGCACAACTTTGTTCAGAACTTTGTGAGCTTCAGTAAAAGGTGCTGCTGCTTTAATGAATGGGACAGAGGTGCTGTGCTGTGTTCCAAAGCACTTCGGAATTATTTTTTGATGTGTGTGCACATCTACGATTTAACATCAAGCTACCATTTCTATACTTTGCTTAAAAAAAATAAAGGGATCACATCAAGAAAGGAATTGTATGTTGTTTTAATATGTGTTTCAATATTGTCTCTTAACAGTTTGCATCTTTTCTGCATGTGGAAATCCTGACAATAGTGAGGATAAACACAGAACTGCAAATTTAGTTTACCTTCTCTTTTTATAGACATATCAGAATGAAATAAAATGTATTTTTGCACAATAAGAGGGAAATTAAATAAATAAATATATATATTTTTAATGAGAAATTTGTCAAACAAACATGTTGCTTTTGTGTCCAGATCGCCTTACAATCGTCCATTTCAGGTTCTTTACTATATGTCTTTATGGTTGACCATTTGTTAGGAGAACTTAGATCCCACCTTTCCATTTAGCGAATGTCACAGCACCTAATGCAAAAATAAAATAAAACTGTCTTCAAAACAAAAATCCAACTGCAACAACCTAATATTAATTTCTAAGTAAATAAACGAAAATGCTGCCATACCCACATCAGTTGAAACTGAAATTACGTACTGATGGCTTTAATAAATAAAAAAATCACAGGGTGCCTAAAAGGGATATAAACGAGGCTATGTGAATAAGAGAGAATGACTTATTTTTAATAGCCAGGCAATTATCCTTTGAAGCAGAGCTTCTAGTGATTATCTTAATAGAGGGGCTGGTTTGTTCCTACAGGTATAAGAATAAGCATTGCTACAGAATAACCATCCTGAGAAATCAGCTTCTGATTCTTGAAAGAATTCAGTGAGAATGAATCCTAATAACTCTGGGTGGTTCACCAATAAAAACAAGAAAAAGATGCAGTAATAGACAAAAATGAAGAATAAAATATGGCAAAGATGACTAAAAAAAAAAAGGATAGGAAAGAAAAAAAATCCACGCAATCCTAGGAGTACTTCACTAATCTTCACAGAAGTCCTGGGCCAAAGGTTCTAGTAGAAGTGTTGTCAAAAGTCTCAATGTCATATGGAACAGGATTTTAAAACTCTGTTCCATGTAACCCTAAAATTCTGCAAGAACTTGATGGGCTCCATGAGAGTCAAAAATGAAGACATTGACTTGAACACCATCAGTTTTCTAGCACTAGAATTTTGCCTCTTGATCAGGACTTCTGGGAATTTTTTTTCCTCCTAAATGTATTAATAGGTTCCATTAAAACCACTGAAACAGAGAATGCATATTGTTTACACAATTTAAAGCACTCCACAAACCTTACCTCAATCATATTAGCAGGATGTCTGTAAGGTGGATCCAAATTATAACCATCTTGCAGATGTTGTGCCTTGACTCCTGGCAACTACCTGGACAAGTCCCCTCAGTTTTCTTGGCAAGATTTCAGAAGTGGTTTGCCCTTGCCTTATTCTTAGGGCTGAGAGAGAGTGATTGGCCCAGAGTTACCTAGCTGGCTTTGTATCTAAGGCGGGAACTCATGGTCTCCCAGTTTCTAGCCTGGTACCTTAACCACTACACCAAATTGGCTCTCATACTGCAGATAGGGGATGGTAAAGATGAAGAAAGACTACAATACAATAGGATTTCCTTGTCTGCGAGATTGGAACCTTGAAACCTCTTGTTGCCTAGCTACTACTACATGCATCTTTTATAAATAGCAGAGAAAAGAGGAAGAGGCCAGCATGCATAAAATGGCAATAAAGCGAAGACAGACAAGTCTTAAGGAACTGGCTGTTGGTGTTTCATAATGGGTTTTGTTGTTCAGCAGGTGGTTCCAAAAAGAGCAATGGACAGAAATTTTCCAGCACAGGAGTGTCTCTGTCTCTACCACAGACAGACATGTACAAAAATAAGTAATAGAGCATATTCATCTTAATTTTTTTTTGAAATAATAACAATAATCAAAAACAACACAAATATCCACAGCCTTGGGAAAGCAGTAGATTTACAGAAGGAATATTATTAAAACACTATGATTTATTTAAGCAATTTGGTCCTGCAAACTACAAGGTTATAGCTTTATAAAGAAATTGCACTCAGAGAATTTGGTGATGATTGTGTTCTGTTTCTCCTGTAAATATCCTTTGTTTATGATAATAATATCCCTGGAGATTTGATTATTGCTCATGTAAGAAATTATGTATCATTTAAAAAATGCATGAGAAAGATGAAAGGAATTGAGTGAACCCAGCAAACATATGAACACATTTAGAAAATTGCCCTCTTCCCATTTTTATCAGTTACTGAATTGGAACAGGCTATCCTGTAGATCTCTTAGGTGCACAACGGCATGCAGTTCTAGCCATGTGGTTTTTCCAAAAAAACCTTCTACATCTGAACACTAACTAGATAGCAGTAACAATAGTCAACAACAAAGTTGTGTGCCTTTTCAATAGTTCCACTGCCCCAGCTTCTACTGAACCTTTTCCAATGGGTGTATTTTATTTGCATAATCTAACAATATCATGAGAAAGACAGGAAATTATCACAAGTAATAGTATTATTAGGAGCTTCCTATTTATATCAGGCTTACCTGGGCAATTTTAGGACCAAAGCTAAACAATGGATTACATAGTAAAGCTCTGAAGGTGATGGTTATTGCAAATCCAAGCTTTGGATGGTCAACCTGCACCATACCTCCTGTGCCACTGATAAGAATTCATTGAACACATAGTTCAAAAACCTGCACGGAAGTACAAGTCTTAGGATTGTCAACTAATCCCACACTCTGAAGATAGCAAGCTGAGTTCCCAAACTTTGGGATGGCACTAACTCAATTAATTCTTTCCCTCTAGGTTAGTCTTAGCAACTCATCTCATTGAATAATTAATTATGTGGGCCCTGTTCCTGCCTCCGCCCTGAACTGAACTCGCATGTCCTCAGTGGTGCCTCCTGTCTCTAGGCCTGGAAATCAGGTGGATTTAATGGGTCCTCTTCCCAGATAAATGAAAGTTATTCTCATTTCCTGGTTCATCTCCACACCTCCCCGATATAATTTGAAGGACTGGTCCAAAGGTACTTTGGAGGAATTACCTTTAACTTCCAGGAATCTCAGGGAGCCATTAACCCAGTCCTATGTTTGAATCTGTTCATGGGTTGTTTATAGCTGCCCAATTTTCCAAAGTGCCTCCAGGATTTAAGAACCATTCTGCTTATGGAGTGGTATATCCCCTACATCTAACTATTTGTCTACTGGCTTTTAGTGGGTTTGTAGACTGTTCGGCCTATCAATCATACAATTTTTAGTTGGTTATTATAGTAATTACATTTCTATGCAATTGAAAACACAAGAGGATACTCTGTTTATTTTGAAATGAAGCTCAAGCGTATCATACTGTAGCAGGCATGTTTCTCCTATTGTTATTTCAGTATCTTAATCTGTGATTTTGATTTCAAAATAAGTATTGCAGCTCAATTATTAATTGCAATTCTCTTTTTAGTTGATTAAGTGATTTTAACTGGGTAATATAACTGACTAATCAAACATTGCAGATCTCCCTTTAATGGAAAGGATTGTACCATAGAAAGATGACTTTCAAAAATTAATACATATCAGCATCTTTTAAAACATTATTCCAGGAAAGAAAAGGTTTGCTGTAGATATAGCACTGTTTTGTTAATAGTATGCCAGTAAACCTTCAATTAATCTCATTTTAAGCATTTATTCTATGATGATGGAACAAATATGGTCTTCAATCAGGCTGGACAACCTTCAATAGAAATTCAGTAGAAATAACTACACTACACGTAGGTTTTTTAAACCTGCACAAGTCTTACTGCATGAAACCAAAGGACAAAGAAATATCATTGGGTCACAGTGACCTTTTCCTTCCCAAGTGAGCAGAGCAACATATTCTTCCAAGGGCGAAATGAAGAGACCTCTGGTGGCCAAAGCTTTAATAAGGTGGCACTCGGGTTTTACTTTCACTTTTCCATAAACTCGTCATTAAACTTCTGTTGCTGGCAGCGATTGAAGAGGATAATTTTTCAGCTTGCCAGATTTAATGGGTTTCTTTCAGTCATAGCAGGAAAAACTGTCAAACCCATGGACAATGATCTTCAGAAAATGTAAGTGATAGTTTTTTCCCCCTAAGGATGCCTTTGCCAACTGGGCAGCTGAGAGAATTGCGTTCTTGTTTTTTAAGGGTAACGAAAGCTTTGCTCAAGGGACAAGAGAAGATGTGGACTGCTTTAGGGAAAAAGGGAGTGTCTGTAAAACTGGTTAATCTCAACTTCCTTTTTTTTTTTTTTTTGTGGGTCTATTCTGCATATTTTCCACTGGGATATTTGTCTTCCTATTTATAACCTTTGACCAAAAAATCCATTGTACTGCAAGAGTATTAGGGGGAATAGTTGTTTAATTTTTCAGCACTAGCAACTGAACATAATTTTGGACTGAATTTATTCTTCAGTGGAAAATATTTCTGGTATTATTTCTGGGTGGGTCAATGTAGCAGCTTATTATATAAACAATTACATGTACTGAAACAATATGCTTGACTGGTAAGTTTTAGATCTGCCAATCAAAAATAGATATACCTTCAGAAGTGTGACTGTGACCTGTAAGGGGTAGGGGTATGGGGAGAAGGAACTCGAAGAATTCTTTTGAATGGTGCTTCTTCCTGCCTGGTTTAAAACTGAAGATAAGAATTCAAGAGGAGAAAGGTATCTTTCCACTAACACTAGTACTAATATTTATGAAGGTTAAGTGTGAGTGCTTTTCAAAAACAGCATACCATATCTGGACAGCAATTAGAAGCCTTGTTCTATAACCTTGGCTATTAAAGCTACTTCATATATTGCTAAGTCATACCTGTGATTCCAAACTAATCATGTGATTCCAGGTTCTGGTAAACAAACCTACGATAAGGCTGTTAATCGTAGG